ATGAGTGAAGATCACGACCCTTTTGGAAGAGCCCAATATGTTCGCTCTATCCGCTTGATACGATACCATTGTTGTGGTTTAGGCCTGGTTGCAGACAACCACAATGCAGCACCTCTCTCTCCCTTCCCCTCCGGCAATGAGAAGGGACAGAGAGCCAGGCTTGGGGTTCGAGATAGGACTGGGATGGGGAAAAAAATCCCCCTTTTATGATCATGAGCAAAGGGAGACTCGTTAGGGGAAGAAAAAAAGAACATACATTTATTACAGGCACTAACAACACATAACAGAGTAAGGACAGTGAGAGGCATTGCCACATCTTGAGAACACCTTCCCCCCACCCCTCCCTTCTTCCCGGGCTCAGCTCTGCTCCCGATATCTCTACCTCCTCCCCCAGTGGCGCAGGGGCAGGGAATGGGGGGTGCAGGCAGTGCTGCCACTTCCTTCATCTTCGGTGAGGGGAGTGTCCAAAACTTGTTCCCCCCTGCTCCGTTGTGGTCCCCCTCTCACAGGAGACAGTCCTCCACAAACTTTCTCCAACATGAGTTCCTCCCACGGGCCGCAGCGTTCCCCACACTGCTCCGTCATGGGTCACTAACTTCCTCCGACTGGATTCCCTCCCACGGCTGCAGCCCTTCCCGAGCTGCTCCGGCGTGGGACTCCCCCGCATGCTGCAATCCTCCCAGCACTGAATTACAGCAGCGGGGATGCCTTTTCCCAGGAGACCCCGGCCTTCTTCGGGCACAGAACCTTGATTATTCCGAGCAGGAGCCACAGGCCATAAATCAATGTCTGCTCCACCGTAGATCTTCATGGGTGGCGGGGGGGGCTGCCCTGCCATCTCCCCACAGGATACAGGGGGGTCTCTGCTCCGGCACACCTCCCCCCTCCTTTCTTCCTCCGTTCCTCCACTGACCTTGGTGTTCATGCAGCTGCAGCAACTCCTCCTCACAAGTCCCGACTGCCCGTCACCACGTCCCTTCTTAAATACGTTATCGCAGAGGCGCAGCCGATTGGCTCAATTTCCCAAACAGAAGTGGAGCTGACGTGGAGCTGGGGGAGCTTCGAGAAGCTTCTCACAGGGGGCCGCCCCGATAGCCCCCTCCCCTGCTACCAAAAGACTCCACCACTCACTCAACCCAGGACAAAGGGTAAATGGAGATCTACTCCACGGGGACCTCCCTCGCTGTCCCTCGTGCCCCGATACAAAGTTCGACCCAGAACCCGTGAGTTCCTGAGCTTGCTGCCGTTACGACCCGGACAAGTGTGCTACTGACCTCTATTTATTGCTACTACCACTATTCTGAAATAAACGGTCGATCCCTGGCGCTGTGGGTCGGGAGTCTGTCAGGAGGGCTGGGGCAATGGGCTCGGGGGACGGGGGGGTGGTTTCAATTCTCCGGGGGCTGGAGGGTGCTGGGCTGGTCCCACAACAGCTGGCCAGCTGTGTCGGAGGGACGTGGAGGCCGGGGTGGAGGTGGGCGGGCCAGGCATCTGTCCGGGCTGGCGAGGGCCGGTCCCCTGGAGCGCTGTGGCAGGCGGGCCAGTTCTCCAGGCAGAGGTGACGGCCGCTGGTGTCGGGTCCAGCTCTCAGGGGTGCCGGGGTGGGCCGTCCGGACGGCTGTCCGGGCGCGAGGGATGGCTGCTGGGGTTGGGCTAGGCTCCTGAAGCTGCGGAGGGGCGCCTGTGGAGAGAGGAGACTGCTGAGGCCCCGCGGCGGCTGCGGTGCCGGGTGGGTGCCAGGGTGCGTGGCAGCGTGGGCACCCCACGGGTCGTGGGCACCCGGCTGCACGTGGGAGCTGTGGGCACAGAGAGCTCTGTGCAGAAAACAGGGGTGCCCTGCACCCCTCGGCTGGGGCTCTGCTCGCCTCCCCACGGCTCATCTCCTCTCGGCCCTGAGCAGCCTGACCTGCCTGCTCTGCACGTGCCGCCAAGGGCACTTGACCCCGGCAGAGCGAGGGGCCCAGAGCTGGGCACGGCACTGCAGGGCCAGGAGAGCCTCCTGTTCTCCTTTCTCGGCGTGCCTGCCAGAGACCAGCACTCGGCTCCCGTGCCCGTCCCTGCCCAGACAAGGGGACAGCCTTGTCTGTCGGAGCGTTTGGCCGGTAACTGTCTCGGCACGCCAGAATACCTGGCCTCTAGATGCTTCGTGGCTAATAGCAGCCATCTGACACACAAGTTTGGCAACACTCACTGTTTTCGCTTCCTCCACAGGTGGAACACACAACAAAACACCATCCCAAGCAGCATGGAGCCCAGGACTGCCACTGGCACCCTCCACGCAGTACTCCATGAAGTTTCCATGACCCGCAGCATTTGCATTTGTCTTGCCACCCACACCTGGAGGAACAATGCTCTACGTTAGCGTGTCCCGCACGCTACTGGTGATCTCACAGGAGGTCTGACGTTGCCAGGAAACGTTCCTTCGCACTTGCTTGGCCTCCCTGAACCGGTGAACGTCCTGGGGCTGCACCGTTTCCTTGGTTTCGGTAGAAGCCAAGGAAACTCCCAAGGCCGTTGCAAATCAACGCGCTCTGGAGCCTCTCTTTCTGCTCTCAGCTTTGCTTGCACTCTGGGGTGGCCTGTAACCCAGTTTTCGCAGTGTCCCCGGTCTGCTCCCCCTTCTTGGTCACCTTCCGCATTTGTGCACAATTTCTGCTGCGCTCGCCCACCTCCACTCTCCGAGGCTCGCTGCTAGTGCTGCTGCATGGAGGCTCTCCCTGGCCCTCTGGGACAACTTGTCCCACTGAACTGAACTCATGAGGCCAAATGGAGAGCACGTCGGGGAGCACAGCTCCCGTTGGACCGATCGACCCTTTGAGTGAGATGGACAAAAGCCATCCCTGCCTCAGGGAGTGCCACCCCCAGCTCTCCCTCCCCAGCTCCGCACCCACACCCTGAGGGGACAGAGTCAGGCCCTCTCGGGAGACACCTGAACCTCGCCCTCTCTCTTCGCCTTCCCTCCAGCATGGGCCCTGCTTGCACACCGCCGCTTTTGGGGACGCGTCTCCCACTTATGGCCCCCTGCCAGACGGCTCAGTACCTGGACTGCTTCGAAAAACTTCATATGTCCCTGCGCGGTGGGCGTTCCCGGGCTTGGACAGAACTGCATAGAAACCAGAGAAAGGGAAAGCCTCAGAGAATTGGGGACGCATCTCCCACTTATGGCCCCCTGCCAGATGGCTCAGTACCTGGACTGCTTCGAAAAAATCCATATATCCTGGCGCGGTGGGCGTTCCCGGGCTTGGACAGAACTGCATAGAAACCAGAGAAAGGGAAAGCCTCAGAGAAAGGCAAAACCTCAGAGAAAGGGAAATGGCTCAGGCGCAGAGGTTGCAGGAGGATGGTGGAGGTTTCCCCAAAGCCTGTGCCCGACATGTCAGTGCATCCCTTTGGACCTCAGGTCACAGGAGGGATCCCCCGCTGCCGTGCCTGGGGCCTCTAGGGACCCAGGGCAAGCTCTGGCCTGCAGCTATTGCAGGGGGGTACGTTCCATTAAGAGTCGCATTTCCCATCATCTGCTGAGCGTGGCTCAGGATGGTCTTGTTCCCCAAATGACTAAGTTCTGAAAGTCCTGTCAACGGGGTGTGGTGGGAGGTGAGCATCTCTCTGCATCCACGGAGGGTTACGAGGGAGCATCTCCCAGGCGCGCTGACGGCAAGCGCCTCCACAGCCCAGAGGTGACCGGCATCCTCAGAGAGCCGGTCCTGGCTGCTGCTTTTGAAGCACTCGCTCTGTACCACCAACTCTTTTGGGTTGTGCTGCCGACAGGACGCGCGGTAGAGGGCACTGGGGGAAGAGCCTGAAGACACGGAGTGATTTTGATGCGTGGTGCTGGAGGATCAAAGGACGGCAATTACCTGGGAGGCCTGTTGACTGAATTGCCCCCGTTTTTGCATCAGACACTCTCACTGCCTGACTGCGTCCTCCCTGAAACGCCTCGTTCTCCACAGTCTCTTGGTCCATCTCTTTAGAAAGAAAGAAGGACAATTGAATTAGAAGTAACCGTTCCTCATCAGGAACACAGTATCTCCAGGAGGCCATACTTCTCAACATCCCTTCATGACGCTTAGAAACAAAGCCGGGACATTTGGGGGTGTACCTAGTGCCTAGTCCCAATGACATGTCATTCATGGAGGACAATTTAAGCACTAGACCCTTTCCACTTTAACCAGCAGACAGAAAATCCTGACCTGCTGGGAGACTAGGAGGTTGCACGTGAGCTTGTTCGCATTCCACTTAGTGCATTTTTGGCAAACGGCAAGATGATGGTAAATGACAGAATCTGTCAGAGGGGACAGGAAGATGCTGTAGCCAGTTCAGCTGGGGAAAGAGCCCTTCTGAGAAGCACTTCCCATCGTGTCAACTCCATCCCACGGTCAGGGTAACAGACACGCATGGTGGACTGAAGCGCCAGCTCTTGCAACCATACTCTGGGCATTTTCACAAGTGGCACTGACGAGCCCGCAGTGCCCCGAAACAAGAGGACAACCACAACCGACCGATCCAAAGCACGACTAGACGCAGGCGCAGCTAAACCAACCGAGACTGAATTCACAGCCCTTCATTTGAGCTGCCTTCAAGTTTGGCGTCTGGCCTCAAGCTGGGCTGTCCAGCTTGTACCTTTCCCTGGCACCGAGGTGTCACCGACCAGTCCTCAGGCATCACGAACGACGAGGCTGGACCGGGTTGTGAAGGTGGGGCTTCTCCGACCCTGGCCAGGGCACGCCTGCAGCCCTGGCAGTGTCCGCTGCTCTCAGCTACCCCAAGCTGCCTGCGCATCCTCTCCGCAGCCCAAGGGCACTCTCCCCTCGGGTGGGCGACCGGCGGGGTGCTGGCCCTCTCATGACTTGTCAGGAACCAGCTCCTTGGCAAGTCTGTCACACATTCCAGGCGTGAGGAGCACCAGTTCCTGCCAGCTGGGTACCAAGGTCTGCCCAGAACAGCTCTGACCCCGGTAAGGCTCTAACCGGGGCAGCAGCTGGTCCTGGCACTCGGTTTGAACCGCGACTGGCAGCAGAGAGTCGGGCATCTCTGCAGCTCGCCAGCGCCTGCAAGGCGTGAAACTGAGTGTGGCCGCAGTGAGGCTCTGAGCGACCCCCTCCTCCTGCTGTGCAGGCTACGGCTTGTCCATCCACGCCCCCAACACCTCCGCTTCCCACGGCTTCTGGTGAAGAGCAATCATCTCTACCCACCATGTGCTGCTTTGTCCAGTTCCTTCAGGACTCCCTCTAGGACTTCTGATGACCGCGGGGAAGATTTTTCCATTTCCGCTCTGTACTTGGCTCTCGGAGGACCTGAACGGAAAGCACAAAGTTAAATTTCTGGCAAATAGACTACTGGGAATGAGTGCTTAGTCTGTGGTCAGTCGAGACTGACCACTCACCCCTGCGATGCCAGGTGAGCTCCAGCGCAAGATCCAGCCGAGAAGCGGGAAGAGCCCTCCCTGCACCCACATCTGCAACCAAACACCCACGAGAAGTTTCCGTCACGCGCTGGGATACAATACACTGACACAGCTGAATAGCAGAACATAGAAGGGCATCACGTAACGACCTGGCACACACAGTGCAGGTCGTCTGCATTCTCACACCCGCAAGAGATGCCTCGCTCACATTTGGCCTTTGAGCTGGCAGCTCCCAAGGGAAGCAAGAAGCCGGGACGTACCCACGCGATCTCCCTGAGCGTCAGCCCTGGAAGCCGGCTGGGAAGCTGGGTAGCCATCGCCTCCAGCCACGTCTGTAAACAAAGAGAACCGAGAGGCTCCCATGAACTGTATTTCACTATACAAAACAATACAGGGGCGTGAAGGCAGTTCAAACAGGGGATTGCTCCATGGCACTCGTCCCCCCCCTCCCCTCAGGAGCACTGTGCAGACAGGTACTGGGGGCCTGGGCCACGCTGATCCAGAAGGAAAGCGTGCACGGAGGTATCGCTCCGGAGAAAGGACTCCCTGCCGCTCACACCAGCTCCAAGAAACTCAGCCCAGCAAGCCCGCTGGCTTTGCAGCAGGCGCTGGAAGCAGCGCAGGGTTGGAGAGGCTGGCCCAGACAGCTTCCCAAGGCAGAGTGCCCTGGGGCACATCAGCGAGCCCAACACATTCGCCCCCTGCTCTTCCGCACGGCGGAGCGTCGGCCAAGAAACTGTTCAGTTCAGTGTTGTCCTGGGCACAGAAAATGAAAACCTAGCTGCTCCCTCATTCCAGTGACGTACCTGTGGGATCGCCCTGAGGCTCCCAGAGAAGATCCGGCGGAGAATTCGGGTGGCCACTGGCTACGGGCACAGCTGTAATCAAGCATGTTCCCATTAGATGTGGGGATCTGCTTCTTTCTGGGTGACCTGCACTGACTGGAAGGGGCTCAGGTAACGACAGGGGAGCCAGCTGTGGGTGGAGGTTTATTGCCGAAGCTGCCGAGGGGCCTGGGTGACCTGTTTGCTGCACCTGGAGGCTTTCAACAGACTGTTCTTTCCAGGCCACGTGCAACAACACCCCTCAAGGCCCAGCGGATGGACAAAGCTACGTAGGGCCCCTCGGGGATTTTTCTCACGGGGAGGTCTCTTCTGTGCACAAAAGCAGCCCACGTGAAAGCAGCGGAGGAAAACAGCGATCACTCATTCACACGTCTCGTGGAGAAGAGAGCCCTGGCCAGGCAGAGGCTGCTGCAGCAGCGCTGCCCTGTCCGGTCGCCATCTGCTCCCCGGGCTGTGGGCTGGGGACGTGTGTCCCACGGGGACCCGGGTTCGCCCAAGGAGAGGGAGCACTGCAGGGCTGGGGCAGGAACGCTCCTCTTTTCTTTCCTGAGCGGCCAGATCTCGCTCAAGGCCGGCCGGCCCCAAGGCTGAAAGCCGGGATGCCGCCGGGGAGCGGCAGAGCCACCAACCTGGGCCCATCTGGCAGCGAGCAGCCCGGGGAAGAAGTGCTCCCGCGGGCTCTTGCCTGGCTCCTGCAGTGCTGCTCCGGCCCTGGCACACAGCCCGGGGGAAGGCTGCCCCGGGGCAGGGCGGCACAGGGCTGGCTCGAGGGACGGTTGCTCCCCGCCGCCCCCGGCCCCACCGTTCGTTCCCCTGGAAAACGCCCCCGCAGCGGCCGCAGCCCCCTGCGCCTCCCCGCAGGACATCTGCCTCCCACTGCCCGTGGAGCTGGGCACGGCTCCCCCGGCCCGGCCCGGCCCCGCTGTCACCCCGAGGGGCAGTGGGTGCCGGGCCGCGCTGCCAGGGCTGGGTGCTGGCCCTCACCTGCCCGCACGCCTAATCCCCGCGCTCGCCACCGCGCACCGCTGACACGCCGGGCTTGCAGGGCCACCAGGACGAGGAGGAGGAGGCGGGTGGGGGCCATGGCCCCCTGCGCCTGCCCCGCGCCGCTGCCGCTGCCGGCACTGCTGAAGCGGTGCCCGCGGCACAGCCCTCCAGCGCCGGGCGGGGCCCGGCAGGGCTCTGTGACGTCAGAGCCCGGCCTCCGCGCGTCACCGGGCCCCTGGGGCACCGCCCCTGCCCCGAGCACCGCCCCCGGCCCGCCCCGGCCCCCCCCGGCCCCTCGGGAGGGCGGGGGGCGCCTGTGCCAGCCCATTGCTGCCCCCGCGGCGGGGCCCTGGCAGGCGGGGGACGCTCACCTCATGGCCCTGCCCCGGGGGGGAAGGGTCAGCTTGGAGACCCCCGGAGAAAGATTCCGCCGGGGGCGAGAAAGACGTTCTCTGGGTCTGGGAAAGGCAAAGGCATCCCTCACCGGCAGAGCGAGGAGATGGCCTGCTTGGAGCACGGGCACCCTGCACACCTCGGAGGGGCTACGTTGCCAACTTGGCCAGCAAACTCAAGCTCCGCGGCTCCTTCGCGGAACTCGCCTCCTTCTAATGCTAAAAATCCCGCCGGCAGGTCAGAGAGAGCCTTGTCCGGGGGAAGAGCCTTCCCCTGGCTGGGGCGTGCCACCACACGCGTTGTGGCAGCAGTGGCAGAATTGCACGGGAACTACTGTGAAGAATGTAACATAAAGCATTTTGCTTCAGCCATGTCAGAAACAAGCTCATGTATATTAAAAAAAAAAAAAAAAAAAGTTTTATTGGGGACAAAGTCAGTGGAGCAAAGAACACAGCGCTGGGCGCAGTGGCGCAGTCTGCCCCAGCTGGGGCTTCTTTCTGTAGAGTCTCCAGGAGATTTCACTGGTTGAGCGAAAACGGCGGGTTTTCTCCTCTTGACACCTGCCCAGCTCCTTTTTCTTGGTTTCTCCGAGGCTGTCTCTCTCAGTACTTTTCCACTGCCCTTCTCGGGTGGTTAGTGTGTGTGTGTGGGGGGGGGGGTGAAGTCCAGGTCTCTCTCCATCAGGAGTTCTTTGCTTAACCCTTTTCTGCTGGCTGCCATTCCTCCCCAGCCCCCCCATCCAGATTCCCCTTTACATGACACCTAACCACAGACCCCACCCCCCCATCCTCTTGCTTGCCCAACTCCCCACAATGCCCAACCATATGCCTAACTTGTGATCACAAAAGGCTTGCTTAACTGTTATAATTGTAACAATACTGCTTTAATAACAGTAACTCAATAAAAGGAATTGTTTAATCACTTTTAGCGAAAGCAAAATTCCTCTGTTACTTCTCCCAAACCACCCCTTTTCTTTTAATACCATATTTTGCCTGAGCTTACTAACACTTGTCTCATTCTTTTCTGAATATCCTATCTTTGTGGGCACCAGCTGATGCAGCCATTTCAGGGTTTACCGGCATAGCTGCTATTTGCATCCCCTCAATAACATGAGATACTAGCCATATAAAGCAGAGTATTAAACATGGTAAAAACAAGCAGCCTGTGATAGCACAAAGGACGTAAAATACAACCTTTTCCCACACTCTGATGTTGGACATAACAATAAATCACTTGTTGCACGGATTTGCCGCTATTAGAGCGAACTAGATCAGGATGATGAGCGGAGGTCCAGTATAACATAGAGTCCCACCTCTCATGCCCATGGGGTTGCAGCCCACAGCTGAGATAAAGGTCTTCTTGGTGACGTGCACAGAGGTTAACCCGGTCTTGCCCTCTACTGTTTTCAAATGTAACAAATCCGTGTTTTAACAGTCAGTCAATTCAAGTGCAGCTCCTTTGTAGCCACTTCCTTTGTTTCTAAGCAAACGTTTTTCGGCACTTTCTGTCAGTGTCCTTCCACCGACTCTCAGGGACATCCCAAATTTCGGGGACTAACCTCCTTTTCCCACAAATCAAGGTTACAGTTCGTGCCCCTTCCCTATACTCACAGTCCCTGTTACAGTTATAACACAATTTTCTCCATATACAATACCACCTGCGGTTACACGTTTCACACTCACACAAAACCCACGCTTCATGAAATTCGTGTATGCACTCGAGACATGGTATTACCCTAATAGGTTGATTTTCTAGCAATGCCCGATCTAACCCAAAACGCTCATAGTCTATTACCAAACAGCTTTTTCCCTGATATCTTTTTGTGGTTCCCCATACAGCGAGTAAGTAAATTTTCAGTGTCACGCCCGAACCCAGTCCCCTCCCGACAAATTTATTTAGTCCTTTTGAGGTAGACTCGTAGTTATCACTTGATGGTACCACAGTCCACTCCCGAGGCTTTTCCACCGGTCCTTTTCCTCGGGAGGCAGGAGTCCACCCCTTTTCTTTTGTTCGGATCGCTGTCTCGGTGGTCAGCAGCACCTGAAATGGACCTTCCCACTCGGGAGTTAAGGATTGATCGTTCCACACTTACATACTGATTTTCTACTTCTGTGCTGACAATATCCCTGTTATTACTCATAGATGGTAATCCAAACATCATTTCATAGGGAGAAATTCCCAGGTCCTGTTCGTGGCTGAGTACGGATCCTTAATAAGGCCAACGGCAGGCATTTAATCCAAGGCGTCCGAGTCTCGATCATTAACTTAGTCGAGGTTTGTTTTGAAATTTGATTCATTCTTTCTCCTCTTCCAGAACTTTGAGGGTGCCACAGGGTGTGCCACTGCCCATTCGATCCCTAAAGCTTCAGATAGTTGTTGTAAGATTTTTGAAGTGAAATGTGTTCCTCTGTCTGAGTCTATTCTTTCCATTAATCCATAGCTGGGGATAATGTTTTCCAATAACACCTTGGATCCCACGCTTGCCATTGCCCTTGGTGTGGGGATTGCTTCCACCCAATGAGGTAAGTGAGCCACTAATACCAACAGGTACTTCCACCTTTGTATTTGAGGTAGCTCTGTGAAGTCTACCTGGAGGCTTTGAAAAGGCCGTATGGCTAGCTCCCATCTCCCAGCCACCTTTCCTCTCATTACCTTTTTGTTCACTTTTTGACAAATCAGCAGCTAGTTGTTTAGCTGCCGTGTTTATTCCTATACACCCATATTCTCTAAGAAAAAATCACAAAGCGCTTGCATTCCCCAGTGTGTTTACTGATGCATTAATGACAGAAGTTCTTGTGATAATGTTTTGTTTAAAATCTGCCTTCCATGGACTGGTAAAGTCCATTTTCCTTCTGGATATTTTTCACCCCCTATTTTAAGTATATCCTTCTCCTCTTGTTCTGTGAAATTCCCGACTTAATTCTCATAATCCCCTGGCGTTACTACTGCTGATGACTCTGTAGCTGTTTCTCTGTCTGCTTGATCTGCTAAGTTATTCCCCTTATTTCCATCGATGCTCCCCTCTGATGCCCTCTCACACGCACAATTGCAATTTCTGAGGGGAGATTCAGGACTTTTAAAACTTCTCTAACCACCTGCTCGTGTACTAGCTCCTTCCCTTTTATATTCACAAGCCCACACTTCCCCAAATTTGTGGACTACTCCAAACGCATACTTTGAGTGTGTGTACACTGTCCCTTCCTTATGTTTCAAATATGTTCACGCCTGTTTCAGGGCATAGAGTTCACAGACCTGCGCTGACCACCCAGCAGCTATTTTCCCTTTTTCTAACACTACCATTTTCTGCCCATAGATAACTGCATAACCCGATATTCTTTTCCCTTCTAGGCATTGAGAGGACCCATCAATAAATAGTTTTTCCCTATAGGGCAAAGGTTCATCTAACACTTGTTCTCTTGTTGTTGTTTGATAATTAATAAAATCCAAACAGTCATGTTCTGGTTCCTGAACACCCTCCCCATATAGAAATAGGGATTAATATTTTTAGTTGTTATTAACGTGAGCTCTATCTGATTGTCCTGGTTGGGGCTGGACTAGAGTTCCTGTTGGTTTCAGTAGCTGGAGGAGTGCTGCAGCACAGAGACCCCAGGGGCTCCCCAGGTCCCAGTGCCCTCACCTGTGTGCGGGGGCGGGGGGAGCACAGCTGGAGGGCTGGGCCCCGATTGGCTGATAGTCCATGTCATGTGACATTGTGCTCACTATATAAAGGCAGGAGAGGGCTGGGAGAGGCTGCCACTTCTGGGAGTGTGGCTGTGGTGGCTTTGTGTTTGGGATTGCTGGCTGGGAGCAGGTGGGTGTTGGTTGGCGGGTGGTGAGCAGCTGTATTTTACATTACCTGCTGATACTGCTGACAGCGTATTATTCTGTTACTGTTATTGAACTGTTTTTATCTCAACCCGTGAGTCTCCCTTTGCCCCTCCGATTCCCTCCCCATTCCCAAGTGGGGGGAGGGTGGGTGAGCGGCTGTGTGGCGTTTAGCTGCTGAGTAGGCTCAAACCACAACAGTCCTTTTTGGCGCCCAAGGTGGGGCACAAAGTGTTGAGATAACAACAGATTTGATCTGTGAGTACTATCAAGTTTGTTATAATGCCGACTGCACATCCTGTTACAATGTCATTTGCTTGGCTCCTAAAATCATGGGTTTTGTTGCTGCAGTTGTGTTATGCATCCCATTACTTACTATATGTAGTCCCCATGCTGCTGCTTATTACCCGTGGGAATTGGATTAAGATTTTTGCCTTGCTGTATTATGTAACTCTAATTTATGGCATGATAAAATCTTCTGTCATGGGAGTTGTGGGGCACCTACTGGAATGGGTTAGTAACTACACCCTCCACCTTTTCTCCTCAGAAAGCCCACCCAAGGGGGAGATACCTTTTTCCATCTTCTCCAAGCTACTTGCAAGTATACTTGAGAATGCTGAGAACTCTGAATATCCATGGAATGCTCATATTAACGTTGTTGTCTTGTTTCTGGAAGCTGTAGTGTTCCTGAATGTGGTTCAGGTTCTGTTTCGGGTTAAGCAACTGTTTCTGAATACCACCCAGAGGTCTACCCCAGGGTTGCAGAGTTATGAGTGGCTGGGAGTGTGGGGTAGCATGGGCAAGTACCTAGGACAGTGGGGACCTCCAATGTTTTGGAATTTCACCCCTGAACAAGTGCGGGATCCTGAGAAATTAGTAAAATATTTCGAAAAGGTGTGCTGTCATCCTGACACCTCAAGAGAGACGCAGATCATTGCAACATGCTGGGGCCTGGCCCACGCCTACCGAAGCCTGCTCACCACTCTGCAGTACTCTCAAAAGGAAGACGTCTCTGCATCTGCGAGCAAAACAACCGGCACTGCAACCACTGTGACCCCCCCACCAGGCACTGCAGCCACTCCAACTCAGGTGACAGACACTGCAGCCAATCCGACCCCTACGATAATTACTGCAGGTGAACTGGAGCATCAATCCACAACAGTATCAGTTGCTCCCATACAGAAGAAGAAATACACTAAAAAATCCCCTCGCATTGTAAAAGGTGATGATGAACTAGGGCCGTCACAAGAACAGGAGGAGGAGGCAGATCCAGTGGTAATCACCCGATCCCTATCCCTGAGTGAACTACGACACATGCGAAAGGATTTCAGTTGCCATCCAGGCGAACACCTCCTTACCTGGCTGCTCCGATGTTGGGATAGCGGGGCCAACAGTGTGGAATTAGAAGGTAGAGAGGCCAGGCAACTGGGATCCCTGTCCAGGGATGCAGGCATTGACAAGGTTATTGGAAGAAAGACACAAACGCTCAGCCTTTGGAGATGACTGCTGTCAGGCGTGAGGGACAGATATCCCTTCAAGGAAGATC